TATCGTTTAACGAGTACAATGATTTATCACTAAATTCATATTAAATACATTTTCGACAACGAGTTACACACAAAACTAAAATTTAAACAACAAACGAAGTTCCTTGTTTTTTTTACATTTGATTTAATTGTATATTGAATGGGGGTAGTATGTATCTATTATTAAAATATTTATTAATCACTTATAATGTACTCGTTGTTGATGGATGCATAATTAAAATCAATTAGAAAAAAATATGTATTTATGTTGAATATATTCAAGTTAAGAATTTTGATCGGGTATATTTTAGTAAAACGAAAAACAATTTATTTTAAAGAATATTCTAAAATTTAAATCATATTTTTCGACATATGATTTATGGTTTAAATAGTTGATCAATTGTTTTTACTTAATTTAAAACACTATTTGTGTATTATCCAAGTATCGCGCATCAACATGAAAATATAATATCAAACCCATTATTCTTATAATTTAGAAAAATTGCAATAACAATGTATCTACTCTCTAAAATTTAACTAGTGTATTCGTATTGTTTTGTATAAAAAATACAATTAATATAACATTTTTTGTGTATAAAATTTATATTTTTGTTTATTAAACTTACACTACATTGTATTATATAATTTTTATGATCTACATTTATTTTACAATTAATTTGAAAAAAAGTTTTTATTTTAAACATACATTTAATTAAACACTATAACAGCCATTTTTATTATTTCCACAGTGAAATTGTATATTAATATTTTAATTTCACAGATGATTTTTAAACAAAAATAATAAATAAAAAAGAATGATAAACGCAAGTTGTACACTTATTACTGTCATTCAGAAAAAGTACTATGAACATTTAATATGTTAATAAATATATATTTATGTACTTTTTTTTCAAAAAATTTTCATTTGTGATTCGTATAATACTAACGGACAAAATAAATCAGAAAAACTCGTAAATTGTGCACGTTGAAACTAAACCATAAAACATTATTATTATACCTCGAGATTTGCACACGAGAGGACACCATGATGTTTTATTATTCCACAACAACCGTAAAAACGAGCACAATTTCCCGTCAATGTTATGTTTTTTCAGTGCATTTCAAGTACAAGCCACCAAACAAAGTTCACGAAATAAAAAAAATACACTATATTGGTAATCAATTTATAAATAATATACGTATTATAGGTTTGGTTTACTGGATTAATTGGTTTATTGTATTATAGGTTTGGTTGATAAATTAAAATTAATTTTCCCAGCCCTTTTCCTACTTTTAATATGCCGTACACCAGGAACGTCAAATAAAGTAACAACCGGGACAAAAATATTAAATAGAATATTAGGAGAATGTGAGATGCTTAAAAAAAAAATGTTAGTAAAAATTAAATGCTTTAAAATTTTTTCTAAATTCTACTCATTAATTACATTTTTTAGCTTTATGGTCTTATTAATTCTTCAAACAAGTCGTATTTTAATTTACGTTATTCACGGTGTTAGTAAATGTTTAATAACTTTAAAACACTATTAAAATTTTTACATCTCTTTATTAAACAAAAAAGTTTTTAAAAACTGTAAAATTGTCATTGAAACTAATATTAGAGTAGACCCACATAAAATTGTGTTTAGATTTTGTATTTTTGGTATTTGTAAATAAAAATTATTTTAGTTACCTAAAATATGTTGTTAAATTTCAATATTTGTTATAACTCTCTACTTACTGTGTATATATTTAATTACAGACATTAAATTAAAAAAAGTAAAGGGAGTGACTTTTGGATTACATGGCATAACCGAGTCTTGACCCACTTAAACAGTTGGTAAGCGAAGTGAGCTAGATAAAGAGTTCTCTAATTATTCATCAAATTAATAAAATAATATCGTGGATAAAATACGCACGCAAACGCACGACATAACATTTTAACACGATTCACGAAAAAATGGTGGCTGTTGAAAGACTAGATAAGAAGTTGGTGATTTATTTATATGATCTCGAACTATAATATTATTAATTATTATATTACTATATTATTCAAATTATTGAATTAGGTTTTTCATTGCAAAAGTACGATATATTTATTATGCACATAATATTTACATATGCCAAAATATATCTCTTTCTAACATCGTTGTGACACAAAATAAAAAAATAAAAAATAGAATTTATTTTATTTTTTTACATGCCTGCTGTACACCTATAACACAAGTGCTTACACAGAATCATAAAATGATATATCTCTGTGAAGAAGTGGCACATTACTATCGCTTCTACCGTACTCAGTATCTCATTTCTTTTTTTGGAGGAATAAATAAAGTTTAGGCATTTAGATTTTAAAATATCGGTATATTATTCTGACAGCTATTAATGCGTACTTATTAATTGCATGTAATTAATAAATAATATAATTTTTCAGCGGTTTCATTTGTTCTTATTGTAATTTAAATAATAAATTAATTGTCTATGTTTAAATTCAAAAAATGTTTCACTTACTAATTTACAGTATAAAAAGAAGGTAAAAACTTGGTTAACAGAAGTTTGTATCTCCACAGGATACTTCTTAAGTAGTACAAAAAAATTTGAAGAACTTGAAAATATTTAATTTTTTAGTATATTATTCTAAAATTTTAAGAATCAGATTTTTAATAATTACATTATTAATGAAAAAAGAGATGAGCTGACGAATCACCCAGTATATAAAAATATTTAAATTATTTAGTATAATATATCTATAGTGTTCACGATCACGGTTTTGTTATTATTTTATTATACCATCGTTATTAATTATTATGATATATTGTATCATAAATATTAACCAAACACAGCTGTGGTGTCAAGACCATCGCACTGTGGAGATGGTAAATCGTATAATGTATACTTATGAATATATAATATATATAAAAGTACGTATATTGTGCATACCTAATATTATATCGGTCATGCATACATATACGACGCAGATTCGGGCGGGATAGATATACTAATACGTATTACTGAGCACCACAACTGCAAAGGCATAATATTAATAATATTATATTATTATAATAGTTTATCCACATGTGTTGCGACTGATGGTCGAGTGAATTTGACAGCGTGACTGATTTTTTTATCACCGGCGATTACGGTGTATTAAGGTCTTAAACGAAAATACGTTTGTAGACTACTAAATATATAATATACAAGTAATACATTTTCTATACATTATATTTATATAGAATTTTTATATATGCATATTGTATATGTATATATTATGTACGTGTTTCAGTCTAATATTATCATACACGTTTAGTTGGTTAAAACGGATTAATTTTTTCATAAGACGTTGCATGGTAATAAATAATACATTATTATCGGACATAATTTTAAAACATTCTTATAGTAGTTATTAATGCAACTATTTTTGTGATGATTTAATTCATGAAAAATTTTTTTTGAAACGTTTAAATCGTATTATAGAGTTACGCACTACCGAGAAAGGAAAGTATAAACACGTATATTAATTGGTTACTATTCTACTCGAGTTAAAATACCGTTTGCATTTTGCACCACAATATTAGTATATTATACAGACTCGTAGGGATATTTTAGAATATGTAATAGGCCTAGAACACACACACACACACACACACACACACACACACACATATATATATATATTATATACATATTACAATACATCACATGCACATAACTACAATCTCAACGGCTTGGGCAGTTGATTATGAATGAACAGAGGAATCTTTGGGGGTTACTTTTATATATTATGTAATGATTTAGAAACAACAATATATATATAAATAATAAATTATATGTGTAATAATTATAATTTAAATTAATGTATCAAGGAAACAGATAACTATGATAAGCAGTGTATCAAAAATATAATTTAAATATAATTCTACAACTAATAGATAATGCTTAACCATAATGTAATTAATTATATCACGATCTTCGAAACCATCAGTGTTAACGTAATATACCTATACAGACATTTTTAACCAACCTCATTCAAAGCAATTAAGCATTAAAACTTTTCTAGAGACATATTTACGTTGGTTATACTATAATACCTATAGCCATGTATATATTATGTGTTACTAGTATATTGAAATATTATGTAATTTGTGACTATTCCAGATAACGTTGATTAAACCATAAATCGAAATTCATTATGAATATTCCAGTAAAAGCCAAAATCATGTATATTTAATACATATGTTTCTTCTTATCGAGCGCAGTTGCGCATCTGCGCTTTCCTTACCTCACTCATCACACAATAAAAAACAAATATTTCAATGTTCTAAAATTGTTTATTAATTTAATTACTTCAATTCACCTGAAATATTCTATCCTTTACATTTAAAAAACGCAAATTCCTAATCTATCCTAATCCTATCTCTGTATAATATGGTCGGTGATTAGCACTAGATTTGATTGTCGTCGCATAACTAGCAGCTTGAACTGTTGTTACCGGTATGTTAAAAGTTAACGTACATCCTTCAAAAACCTCATTATTCTGTTATTCAGTGCGTATATATATACCATAATTTATAATATAAATTAACTATTCATGTATATATATACTCAGACCATGCGTGTTTCTGTGATTTAGTCTCGCATCGAATATTATAATAATACGGCCTTATGTCGACGATCAACACCGCGATGCTCTGCCGGGGTATCTGAGTGCTTGCCAAAAATCCTTTTCAAAATTTATCACGACGTGTGTAGAGTCTACGCTGCAGACTGTGCATTAAATTTATATTATGCATCATACGTTATTATTACGTTCGAATTTAACGCGTATACATAATAACCAGACACGTATATATGGAGGTATGGACAACCATAAGTGAATAACATTTATTATATTAAGTCAGGTTATACCTACTTATTTTATATTTTAAGAGAATTAATATGGTATAAATACTTTAATTAAATAAAAAATGTACTTTAAATCATATATTTTTTTTTTATGTGTTTACAATTCGAATAAAATATTTTTACCTTCGCAAATGTTTGTTGAATATTATGAGAGCCATAAGCACCGTATTTGCAACTATGCCTAAACCGACAAGTGTGAGTGTTATGGTAGCTTCGGATTCTCCTTCCGGGTGGCATTGAAACGCTCTACTGCCATTGGTCAAGGTCCCGTTTGATCCAGGATTCCGAAGGTTAGGCGCACCAATCATCACCACTGATCCTCCTCCTGTAAATAATCCATTTATATAATTAGCAAAATCTGAAGTATTATCAAAGATTTTTTGAGCTAATATTAAATATATTGCAAGAATTATATTATACATAGTTTAATTTAAATTTTACAAATTGTACATTTAAAAATACATTTTGTAGTAATGTAATGTTTATATGAACCTTATGATTCGCGTCAAACTTTAAGAAAAATAATAAGTGTTTTTATGAATTTATTAATTTAGTAGGCTATATTGCAATTAATAACACAAAATTATTATTTATATCTCGGGTGCTATATAAAATATATACAAGTATAGTATATTTTTTATAAAGGTACACAAATTTAAAATTATTAACACTGTAATTTTTATTATTGTTAAGAATATTTGGCTAAAATCCTTAAATTATATTTAATTTGAGAAAAAATATTTTTATTGTCTGGTTATTAGCTATTTTTATAAACATCGAGGCACACTAATTAAATAAGACACATTAATAATGTAGCAGGTAAACTGTAATTATGGAATAAAAATCATTTTTAAACGTCTTGGTATAAATATACACTAGCTAAATTAGTAATGTTTTTTGTTAAACTCTATTTAAATTTAAATTATTTTAGTTTATACGTTTATAAAACATTTGTTTGGAGATAGCCAAACATTCATTATAATACCTAAAAATTGATTAAAAATAATGCATCATTTAAAATAATATAAATTAATATAAAGTTATGTTAATATATATAAAAAAAGTTGGGTATTATATACGAAATGAGACAAATGACTAATCTGATGACAGACAGTATTTCTAAAACACCGAATTTCACAGTGGAGAGAGAGTGATGAATTAAAATAGATAAATTAATAAATATTATCGAATTGTTGACGTTATCAATTCGGTGTGGCATACCTTAATTGTTCCAAATTGATGGAGTATTCACTATAATCTATTCTTATTATTATAAATTATAATCGTATATAATTGATAGACATAATACTATTATCAGAAATATCTATATCAATTATAGCTGGTTCAATATTAACTTTGGTGATTTATCAAAGGAATATACAATACGGTTATATATTGTTATCAATTAGACACAATTTTGTCAAATCATCTAAATACCAGCTAAACAGAATATTATAAGCTCTATTCATAATTTATGTTATCATATTATAATAATAAAATATATAGGTACGCAGTGTTTGACAGTAACATTTTGACTAATACTCGAACGAGTTTCAGCAATTCTTACATTAATTGTAATAACTATGGTCAAGTTAATGATCGTATTACGTGGGGTTTTGAAGGTACCCGTATGCACTCCAATCGTTTGGATTCTTTTTAACCGTGCAATATACCTGTATACTATAATTTTATTTAAGTAAGTACACTGGATAGATAATTAACTTTATACCCTATACACGCGTAATAATATGCAGTAGTGTCTATACTCTGTTCGCCAAGAGACCGGACCCGTGTAATGGACAAACACTCGTCGTTTTTCTCAACTAAAACACTTGAAGCCTAAAACTCGTCAACTTATCATCTGTCGATGAGTGGTGGAAAGTTGCGTACAGTGTCGCGTTTTATTGTAGTGATTGCGATCCGTTATATTACGTTGTGCTCAATTATATTCCGCACCACATGATAGTTTATTTGAACTTACTCTGTATATAAAATATTTTTTGTCGGCGGAAAAGGGATTTTTGACAATGCGACCGTTTTTCCGTCAGTCGGGATGCGCGAAGTGGTCCGGTTTCTCGGTGAACAGAGAATAGTAGAATAGTACACCCATTTTGTTACGGGGTAGTCACAGTATAATATTATGATAATTCTTCTTTAGTGTCGTCTAAAACGCCATGACTGCTACCGCTTTGTTATTTTTATGATAATAAAACAGACATAATTTTAATGATTTTAAATGATAATTAATATTATGTACAGTGTAGTTCACCAAGTATGCCCATCTCTGTGTTTTTATTTGATATTACATTTATTTAAATTCTGATTTACTAAAATAAACGTAAAAGCCATATTTTCAAATTATAGAGATTTGTTTGTACTACTTAAGGAGTATCCTGCGGCGATATAAACTATAATTTTCCAAACGATCTCCCTTCCTGTTTTTACTGTAAATTATTTAGTAGATATATTTTTTTTAAACTTAGATGTACCAAATTTAAAATTTGAATGAATAATTTTTCAATTATTAAAATATTTAGACTAAGTATAAAGTCTATTAAAAATTATATTACAAAAATATAAAATTTTATAATATCGAATCTAGTATTTATTATACTTGGTCCATTGTTATAAATCTTAAATATTGATAAATCAATGTTAGTTACTAACATTTTAAAACTGCCATTGACTAACTATAATTTTAGTATACAAATTACAAAATTAAATAATTCAAATTTACTCGTTCAACACTTTTAGAAAAATTATCCGTTACATTACAAAAAGGAATGTTTACATTTAAAAACCAAAATTTTGTGTTTTCCCAGGACACTTTTATAATAGTATTAAAAACCACGAAAATATGAAAATATTATAAACTTTAACAAAATATATTGAAAAACTCAAAAAATCCGATTTTAAATAATCTGCATTATTTAAGAAGAAAAACTGAGTGAGAATGCTTGGAGAGTCACCTTGAATATTGTAATTATCACCATTTTTGTTTTACCTTTCGAATCAATTCTCAGTAGGTATATTATTATTATTAAATCTTTCAGAGTCCACGAAATTTCTAGAGCACAGGTGGTAAGTATAGGATGAAGGAATGCATATATAACTTTGATACGTGTATACTATTTAATACATAGTATACATATTGCGGCTTACTGAGGTTTGTGTTTAGCATATAATATCATATGAAAATATTGCAATAACCGTCGGACTATCATTGTCTTCGTAGCCACCATTATATTTTGCGTAGAGACTGTGCGGAAATCGTTATGACGTTTATGCATACTCGTATAATATGATACATCTATGAATATTTTGAAGTTGTAAGTCGCGGTTTGTAGCATTTTAATATAAGTTTTTGATCATTCTAAATTTTATCTATAAGAATCTCACAATATACGTTATTTCATTTATCAACACTGCTATTTATTATTATGTAATCAATATGGGTATATACATACGTATAGTAGCTAAACCTAAATTAATGACAATGTTAATAATAAGTGTATTTTCCCTATATTTACGTAAACTATATATAAATACAGCTATATTTTGGTTTTTTTTTTATCAAATATAAAATATAGTACTAAAAATAATTATATTCAATCATAATTACTTAACATAACCAAATTTAACCTTATGTAAGCTCGCCTTTAAAACGTAAAATTTAAAAATTTGGCTTCGAAGTGCACATACAAGGATATAGTATTATTTACACTCACATACCCTTTTTTCTACCCGTAACAACGACTTTCTTAGGTTTTTGTGAGGTTTTTTGTGCAATATACGTAAAAGCCTGATAAATAATTATTTTAAACGCACATTACCGGATTACACTGTTCGGAAAACAATGTATAAAAAATACCATTAAACTTTTTTGAAGTCTTATTCAGCATAGTTTGTCTTAACTAATCGTTAATATATTAAAATTATCATTATTTGTATTAAATCATTTTAATTATATTATGATAGTAAAGTTTTAAATCAAAACAATAATATGATAATGGATTTATTATTCGAGCAGAACGTGCTCATAGCATTTACTGATGTACACTATTATATACATTTATTACTATTTGATGAAAGTCTTTGTTTTGAAAGTAATGTTCCAGATGAACTATAGTAGCGTGGCAAGTTTTCTCTTAATTTTAAATATTGCTTCTATAGTTTAAACAGTGGTAATACAGTATTATTGGAATATAATAGAAAATTTATACTGAAAAACAGTTTTATTTGTATGAGTATAATGGTTTACGCAATATTGGTATATTTTATATTGTGTAGTTTTAATGAAAATGAACAAGCAGTACTTGTCTATAATATTGTTTTCTTCTAATGATCATTTTTTTTCCGAATGTGGGCCATAATTTAAATATTTTTCATTTAAGTTAATGAATGTTCTTTACTTGTGTTATTGTGATAAAAATATTCTATTTTTTAACCAAGATTATCCAATTTTCCTATTAAAATATTTTTTAAATTAATTTTTTTAAATACTATAATTTATTACAACAAATAGTGTTTTAATTTGAAAAAATGAAGTTTGTATCATAACTGTTTAATATTTGATAAATCTATAAGCAAGTGTTTTAAAAAATGGTTCTTTAATTGTTTAAAAATCGAAAATTTTGAATAAATTAATTTTTATAAAATAAGACTTTAAAAGTTATTTGAGAATGATGGAATCGCCTTGTTTATTATACCCACCTTTTTTGTTGTTTGAAATTTGTTTTAATTTTTATCGATATTATTTTTTGAATCCAAAATATCATAGGACGTTTACTGGTGTACTTAATAATAAAAAATATATCAACACACTTGTCACCTCACATAAATTACTATAATATAAAATATCAAACATTATAAAGATTCGTTATCAGAAAACTTATGAGGGTATTTAGTATTTACTATACATTATTATCTTCCAATTATATATTTAAAAAATTGCAGATTATTATAGATAATGTACATATTGTTCATAATTTATTATTTACTTTAATTTGCATATTATATTATAAAGTATTTAATAAAGCTTGGAAAATATTAAAATGTTTAGTATATCGTGGCTATAAAATTGAAACTATATCATATTATTTTTCTAGCAACATAAAGATTTAGTTTAAATTTAAATTTAATTAATGATTTTGATTTAATTTTAAAATACACATTGTATACATTTTGATTAGATTTATTGTAGTTATTTTAGGTATTTTTAATGTATTTAATCGTTTTTAAAATAATATAAAATTACAGGAATATATTATTATTACAAAAATAGTTTAAAATACTATTACTTTATTCTTTGATATATGTGTATAC